AAATGAATTTGATGCTTGTATGGTACCACTATTGCTTGTATGTTTAAAATGATCTAGTGGTAGCATATGACATGTTTGTGGGCTTGTAAACCTAGTGTTTGATCTATAAAATAAGCTATAAGTGTTTAACTCAACATGGTACAAGATAACCCTTATTTAGAGGTGTGAAGAAGCTTGTCCTTGGATCAAACCGAGTTAAATAACTTTTGCAACTAATCTAGATTAAACCATTTTGGGAAAATGATCCTCACTTCACATGGTTTCACCCCAACTTATCTATAATTTGAGCTCACCTTTTGTGCTAATTGTTGACAAAGGGGTAGAAAAATTCACAAAGATAGTAAGATAGAAATTCACAAAGATAGTAAGATAGGGGGAGCAAACAAATGAAATGACATTGTAAGGGGATCAATCAAAATTACACATAAGTAGGGGGAGTAAGCTCATAAACTTGTATGTTGCATTTGAATGTGCATTTCATATATTTGCTTGCATGGCACAAGTTTTAAAATCTCAATATCCATGCTTGTGTGGTGTATGCTAGTTATATGCTTAAATGATGAAATGAAAAACTAGCATGCATAGGTAATCTAGTGACTTTATTTTCAAGTGGTATCAAACTAAAGTAACTAGACTTATGTTCATCATATGGAAACTAGACCCTTGCTTGTAATATTGATCTCATGAGGTATTCTAGTTTTTGTGAATGTATAGTTACAAATGGTGCTAAGGATGGTATATTGGTGCACTCCGATTGGTATCATGCTTCAAAGGTCCATCTTTTATACCTTAGCATCATGTGGTAGAAATTGTCTCCTATATTTCCTATCTAAGCATATGTGCAAGCTACAATCCAAATTCTTAGCACATATGTAGGGAGAGCAATTGCTACCATATGGGATTGATGAAACTTGTCCATATTCTTTTACACATGGTAAATATGCTTGGACAAGCAACATGGATTCATCTAAAATTCTATTCATATCTTTGTGAAAGGGTTGTCATCAATTACCAAAAAGGGGGAGAATGAAAGCTCTAATTTGGTTTTGGTTAATTGATGAAACCCTAAGTGCTAACCTAGTTTATCAAAGTGATTATGAGATAGGTAGCACTACTCCAAGTGATGAAGCAATGGCGAAGATCATAATGACCGTGATGGCATGGTAATGATCAAATGCTTAAACTTGGAAAAGAAGAAAGAGAAAAACAAAAGGCTCAAGGCAAAGGTATAAATTGTAGGAGCTATTTTGTTTTAGTGATCGAGACACTTAGCGAGTGTGATCACATTTAGGATTGATAGCCGTACTATTAAGAGGGGTGAAACTCGTATCGAAATGCGGTTATCAAAGTGCCACTAGATGCTCTAACTTATTGCATATGCATTTAGGATCTAGTGGAATGCTAACACCCTTGAAAATATTTGAGAGAAAATATGCTAACACATGTGCACAAGGTGATACACTTGATGGTTGGCACATTTGAAAAAGGGTGAAGAAGTTAGAGGTAAAATGGAGTTGGTCGCAATGATGCTGGAGTCGGTCTACTGACCGGACGCTGGGTCACTCAGCGACCGGACGCTGAAAGGATGCGTTCAGTCGAGCTGTCAGACGGCACAGTGGTTAGGATTAAGCACCGGACGTTGGGCTGTGTCCGATCAAGCATGACCGGACGCGTCTAGTCAGCAAAAATAGGATTTGGACCCTTGCTGGAAACGACCGGACGCTGAGGGTCCAGCGCCTGGTCAGCTCTGTCGGAGCGTCCGGTCAACATTTCGACCGTTGAGATCAAACGTTCATAGTTGAACGCAGGTGACACGTGGCCGCCATCGGGCGACCGGACGCTGAGGACCAGCGTCCGGTCAGTTCGGCCGGAGTGTCCGGTCAGCCCGATCAGTGCCCAGTGAAGGGGTACAACGACTCTATTTCGTGGGGGCTTCTATTTAAGCCCCATGGTCGGCTCAAGCTCATTCTCTTGCACATTTTCATGGACATAGCATACTTGTGAGCTTAGCCAAAGTCCTCCCACTCATCTCCATCATTGATCCATCATCATTGTGAGATTGGGAGAGAATCCAAGTGCATTGTTTGAGTGATTGCATCTAGAGGCACTTGGCATTCGTGTTGCGCTGCGGGTTTTGCTTGTTTCTCTTGGTGGTTGCCACCACCTAGACGCCTTGGAGCAGCAGTGGAGGATTGGCACGAGTTGGTGATTGTTCGTGGCCATCTCCGGTGATTGTGAGGGGAGTTGTACCTTTCTCGGTAGAGTGCCAAAAGGTAACTCTAATATATTGCTCGTGTCATTGAGTTACCTCACTTGTGGGTAGGTTCTTGCGGTGTCAAATCGTGTGGACGAGGTTTGTGAAACACCTCTTAGCCGCCAAACCACCAAGTGTTGGTCGACACAACGGGGACTAGCGTGTTGGCAAGCACGTGAATCTCGGGAGAAAAATCGATTGTCTCTTGTCATTTGTATTCTCCCGGTGATTGGTCATATCTTCATCTTGTGATTGGTTCACTCTCCGACGTGGCGGTATAATCATATCATTTACTCATTTATATTTCCGCAAACTAGATATAGCAAACTCTTTAGTGTAATTAGAATTGAGAGCTTGCCTTGTGTTTTAATTTTATCTAGTGGAGCTCTTTAGTGTAGCATTTGCGAGAGCTCTTAGTGAGTAGTGATCAAGTAGATTGTGTGCCCATTAATCATTGCTACTAGAATTGTTGAATAGGTGGCTTGCAACCCTTGTAGAGCTAGAGCAAGTTTGCATTATGCTATTTGTCTTACTAATCAAATTGCTCTAGTTGATTTGTAGTTTTTAAATATGCTATTCAGTCCCTCCTCTAGCCATATTAGGACCTTTCAGCTGTCTGCGGCCCTGCTCCTCCATCTGCTGGCGCCAGACGAGTGTGTGTGGTGAGCGAGAGAGACCGTGAGGGAGAGGGACCCAGCCCTGCTCCTTTGCGAACAAGGACAGTGGATCCGTGAGGGAGAAAGACCGTGAGGGAGAGGGTCGGTCAAGAGCTGAGAGCTTCAGTTATATACGTGGGTTATTAGACGGGCTGTTAGTGGGCCGAACAATTTCGGGGCTCCATTGGTGATCCGTGGGGAAAAAAGTAGGATCCGTCCTCAAACCCGCTATCGTTCGGATATCCGAACCCAAATCCCGTGGGTGCAAAACTGTGCCCGAAACCAAAACCACTGGACCCGAAACTCACGGATATCCGCTCCAAACCCGATCCGCTGCCAAGACTCGGTATGTTGTGCAGCCACGATAATACAAACTATTACGGCAAATGCGGCATCTATCTTTGTAGGATTCTACATCCAGATTAGACAGCCAGCATGTTGGAGTTTCAGACATGATGAACTAGAAATGCTACTAACTGTAGTATACGTACATTTTAGCATCGACATTAGTGAACCAATATTTGCAGCCACGATGGCGAGGGGCTCCTTGGACATGGCGCCCTTGGGGGTCATCTCATCTGGCACGGTTAGGCTAGCGTCCGGACATTTGGACGTAGCTCCCCACACCCCATGCCTCCTCCATGCCGCACGCCCCGCACGCTCGGATTCCACGCCGCTTGAACGACTCGCCCCACCCACACTGCCCATCCTCACACGGGCCTACGCTGTCCGAACATCAAAGGAACAAGAAGAGGAGACACCGAGGCGAGGCATAGAAGGCAAGGAGGGAGATGCAACACCCGATCTACTTTTTAAACATCTAAATAAAACATTTGCAACATACGTTCAAAACAGTTGAAACACTTGCAACATACGTATGAAACACTTGTAAAAACACTTGAAAACGCTTGAAAAAACCATTGTAAAATATATTCAACATCCAGATAAAACACATACAACATCCAGATAAACATACTTGCAAGCATTCGTCCGAAAAAGATAGCTGAAACATTTAAAACAAACGCTTGCAACATGTGTACAACCATTGCAACATAGACAATATTTCGATCTAGTTTTGCAACATCCATATAAAAACACTTGCAACATACCTCTGAAACATCTGAAAACACTTGCAACATGCGCTTTCAAGCGCAATATCTACTTGTTGCATGGACGAATGGAGGCTCGTCGACGTGTAGCTCGACGACGGCTCGGAGCTCGATGCCGGGGGGTTCCAGTGGGCGGGCCGCTGGCCGCAGCCCCAATGAGCGGCTGTGCCGCCCTCGACGACAGGACGGGCAGGTGGGGTCCCCACGGCAAGACGGCCCTCCGGTGTGCTAGAGAAGGTGAGGCGGCCATGCGACTTTGGGAGCCTGCTGCTGATGCTGCTTCTCATTCGTCGACGGCAGGGAAGGAGGATGGATGGCGAGAAAGGGAGGCAGCGCGTAGCCACGGCGGAGGAGGGAGTGTAGCAGTAACACAAAGAAGAGAGAGACCGAGGAGAGCACGAGCAGCAAACACCTGAATGAGAAATCAACATCCTGTTTAGATGAAGAAGCCACGAGGAGAGCATCAGAGGGAACACACATATTAGCCAGAATGGATGCGGACAGGAGCGGAGAATCCGCGTCCGTCCGGACGCCGAGAAGAGAGCATTACAGTTTGTAGAAAGGATCTCTATTTTCTAATTTCTCTTCCATATATGCATAGCAAAAGCTAGAAATTTCATTTCAAACAGTAGGACGGCCTAACTTGTACGATTCGACGAGAACATGACGCTCGCCATCCAATAAAATACATACAGTAATTGGCAATGAAAATCCATACAGCACAATAAAAGATGGTGAAACACAGAAAATTATAAGAACCTTGGGTCTTCATGTATCTGGAGATACATACGTTCCACGGTGTATATATATAGCTAGCATAGAGGACATGTTACTTAGATGGGTCTTAAAAGATTAGAAAAAAAAAAGGTCCTGGTAATAATTCGTCTACTATATGTATAGGGGTGTAGTAAGGAGCATCATCCATTCATCCTCGCCTCCCTCTTGAAGGGATAGGTAGATGGTGCCTCATGGAGTAGTACTCTAGTAGTACATGAGCTGCTGCTGCTGCTGTTGCTGGGCGGAGGTTGTGGCGGTGGCAGTATTGATGCCCTGAAAGCCGCCGTCATAGATGGACTGGCTGGCTCCACCACCCATCCCCAGTGCAGCGACATGCTTCAAGGCGTGCTGACCCATTAATGCTGGGTTCGTGGCCATCTTGCTCAGGGCCAGGCGCTGGTAGGCCATGAAATCTGTCGCCGACACTCCAGTGGAGAATGTTGCCAGTGCTGGAGGAGGCAGAGGCGAGGATGCTGTCCCTGGTGGAGTCGGTTTGCTTCCCCAGGAACACTGCAACAAATTAAGGCAAAGACTATTCAGTAATTTGCTGTGATCAATGTATTTCATACAACTAAACAACTAGATAATATCGTGCATACCATACCAAGATGTTCTGTACATACCTTAATAAATTCCAAAAAAACAAAAGTTTTACTATCTGGCTATATTTTCAGGGGATAATGTTGATAAACCAATTTATATTACCTACAAACCATTCACATAATACTTAGGTCTGCTAATGGGTTGGGTTTGTTTGGGTTAAATGGGGTGGGTTCTCATTTGATTTCGTTTAGAAGGGTTCGAATTGGTTAATCAGCAGGCTGGGTTGGGGTGGGGAGTATAAGAGATGTGGGGCAGGGTGGGTCAGGTTAGGGTCGAAGATGATACTCAGAACGGATGGAACCAGTGGGTTCAACCCATGGACATGGCAAAACTCAGTCCCGCAGTCGACGGCTAAACGCACCCGAGCCACCTCACCCTCGACCTTCTCGGCGCTCTCTGCTACGCTGCTGCCACACGGTTTGCTCTGGCGGACGATCACCTCGCATGCGGTGCAGCAGCACCCTTCATCCTCGTCAATAAGCCCTCGTCCAGCAGCTGGGCAGCGACCAGCAGCTGGGCAGCGACGAGGTAGGTCACAAGGAAGCCAAGCACCCCAACAGCCCACAGCGAAGCCTAGAGGAAGCGCTTGATTGGGGTTGGCATGACATAGATGTGGATGAGGAGCAGTGACATGTTGACAGCACCATACCCGCGGCGCTGGCAGCGTACAGGAGGTCGATCCCCTGCCTGACGGCATCGTTGCCCTCCAGCAGGAATACCGCGGAGGCCACGGCCACTAAGGACACCGCCGCGGTCACCAGCCTCGACCAGTACAGCAGGACCTCGCAGAGGTCGGACTCCTCGACTGTCCTGAGCTTGTAGACACCATTGTAGACAGTGGTCTGGTTGGCTTGATGTACAGGTGCAGGATCTGAAGGTGGCTTTTCGTGGTGGGCAGGATCTGCAGCTCCGTTCTTGCTGGACCGGTGGAAGAAGAAGCACGGAGTTGGCGCTCGTGGCGGCGCCCTGTCCTCCCCTACCGCCCGCAGATTAAGTGCGGAACTACAAATCTTGCATCTACCCACCCACCCAGATCCTCTGTCCCTCTCCTCCACGTCACCACACTGCTCCCCGTTGCCACTCTCGCTAGCGAATTTCTGTCAATATAGGTGGGTTTGGGTTGGATCTACTTGGGTTGGGTGAATTCTTTCAGTGGGGGTGTGGAGTGGCTTGGAATGGGCTGGGAAGGTTGAGCCTGTTGTTGTGGGGTGGGGTGGGGTGGGGGTGGGTTGGAAAAGGGTGGGTTTTGACCCATAAGCAGGCCTAGTAATACTACCGTTATCCACCAACAATATTATTCTATTGTAAAAATTGACCTAGGAACTTTCAGGATTTTACTAAATCCCATTATCAAGGAAATGTGAAAACCAGAACCAAAGATACCTTTATCTGCCTCCCGCCAATAAGTTGGCCATTACCCATCTGAATTGCCAGTGCAGCCTCCTCATGGGTGCTGTACCTTACAAAGCCAAAGCCTTTATCACGAGTTACACGGACTTCCTCAATTGAGCCAGCCCCAAGTGAATGGAAAAACATGTGCACATCATTGTTGGTAGCCTGGAAATCAAGAAAACATGGAAGAACGTTCATAAGACAATAAAAAATGTTAACAAAAAAATGGTAATAGCAAATAGAAAGCCAAAACATAGACAGCAGCTCTTCTATTGGAAGAGTATTACCTCGTGAGGAAGATTGCCAACATAGACAGTAGTAAACTGAGGGTTACTTTCAGGACCATCTTCATTTAGATTCTCTTTTCCAGATTCTGCAGAACATTATAAAAGATTATTAAAAGGTGTCGCAGGTCAGTTTCAAGCCATAACTGTGACACGTATGGCTTCTACCAAATTCCCATCTTACCTATGAATTAAAATTGTACTCCCTCCGTCCCAAAAAACTTGACATCCTAGGATTTTTCAGACATTAGTATCGAGGAAAATGACCCTGCTACCCTATTTATTAGGAAGTGTTTTCCCTTGAAACAGGCCTGTCACATGGGTAACCTTCCACAGTGCACACAAAATTAAGGAACCAATTGCAAGCATGCAGATTAGTTAGCATGCTTGGGTCTAATTAGCGCCCTCAATTACAGTGGATAGACTCATTATGTCTAGTGGGCTAGAATGACTAAGTTTTTTGGGATAAATTTTGAATACTAGGATGTCAATTTTTTTGGGAGGGAGGGAGTAAAAACTAAGGTTAGAATATACTCTATCCTTTCCAAATTGTAGTTCACTTTATCTCTGTCCTAAGTCAGACTTCTCTAACTGCGACCACATTTATTGGAAAATGCACAAATATCTATAACATCAAATTAGTTTCATTAAATTCTCCATGAAACTTCATGATAGTACATTTATTTGAACTTGTAGTCTAGATATAACATCAAGTTAGAGAACTTTGACTTAGGACAAAACTAAAACTGAACTATAATTTGGAATGGAGTATGCCAAAAAAATACTTTATTTAGCATGGCATACCATCCATAGAAAGTACAAATGTCAAGCACCACCTAGGCTGCTAGGCACATCTAGCAGCTAGCGCTTTTTGAAACACAAAGAAAAATAGAAGCTCAAGTCAAAGCACATGTATTTACCTGATGTGCCATTTGTCAGGTCAACCTTGGAGTCCACAATCTGTTTCTCTTCACCAGCACTAGCACCTTTCGTTGCCCAATTGCAACGAATTTGACGGTTGCCAAGCCACTTCCCTGCCAGTAGAAAAGTAAACAGGTGTAATCACCTTGTGAAGCTTAGGAGTTAGGACTCCAAAATGGAACATATATAAGTTAGAAACATGGAACTAGAGAACATACCATTCAAGTCATTTATCGCACTTTGAGCATCCTGTTAAGGAAATAATGACACAGTGAGATGAAACAGCAGCTCCAAAAGTCCATGGCAACGATGCACAAAGAGTTTAAAAATGGCGACACTACCTGCTGGTTCCTGAAAGAAACAAAACCAAACCCTCTGGATCGTCCTGTTTTCTGGTCCCACATAACCCTAGCATCTCTGCAAAAGTTACCAAGCTAAACTGGTAAATAGACATGCCATGTACTGGACAATTAGCAAACTACTCTGCTAAAATGTCACAGTGACAAGTAAATGATGGAGGGGAGATGAGAGTCAGGCAATGCTTACGAGCAGGTAGAGTATCCAGAGAAAAATGCAAACAAAGTAGCATCAGTGACTTCTGGGCAAAGATCCCCAACAAAAATATTAAAATGACCTGCATACAAAGCTTAGAATTCAGAAACCATACATTCACATACCTGCATGATTTGAAACAAGTAAAATACAAATATAGAATATATTATTAATTCATCTTCAGTTCCAAACCTGATGTATCCTCCCTCTGAGTACTTGTATATGCCCAATTAACTTTTATCGGCTGACCATACCTGGATTTTTGGGGGTAATTAGAAAATTAGAGACAAAAAACAGGGCAGTGTTCATAGAAATTAGCACATACTCCTTCCGTTCCAAATTGTAAGTTCTTCTGGCTTTTCTAGGTACATAGTTTTTGCTATGCACCTAGATATACACTATGTCTAGATACATAGTAAAACTAGTAAAACTATGAATCTAGAAAAGCCAAAAACGACTTACAATTAGAAATGAAGGAGTACAAAACCAAAAAAACTTACAGTGGTCTGCCATTGAGAGATAAAATTGCTAGTGCAGCATATCTGCGGTCATAATAGTCAATGAAACCAAAGGATGACTGCAACATCATAATGGAAAGTGTGAAGGCCACATTGCTATAAACAATCTAATTTATAGAGGATAAGCAAACCTACAGTAAATCATTAACAATTAACAAATTAAAACATACGAAATGCAGTATCCCAAATTAAGGTATCCTAATCCTTGGCAGCACTAGAACAACCATACTTAAAATCATAATTATTTAGATCCATTCAAAGTTTAGCCAATAAAATAAATATGACTCACATTCAAAATGTTCAATTTGCATCTAATAGCTTCTAAGTACTAACTATGGCATTCTCCCGACTCCCTGATATAATATGCTAGTCAAAAGGTGTCACTCTAAAAGGCAGTAAACAACAACTACAGAATGGATGGATCAGTTCTAACCACAAACGTTTAATTCTCATATGTGTTTGAACAGATAGTACAGCATAATAAGTTAGAGATGGGTATGGAAGCACATGTCAATAGGTTAGTCTACAGTCCACCACAAGTCAAACCACAGTAACATACATGGCTCAGCTCCCCAATGCTATCTCAGTTCAGAGTTCACCATATTGCACTCATCAAACTTTTAAAACTAACATGAATAGCAATGAAACTCTTATGTCCACCTAGATCAATAGGTTAGGCTGAACTGCAGAGTGCATGTGTGCTTTCATTCCAGTAAAAGAAGATTAGCACACCGCTGATTGTAGTCAGCCAGCTGAAATTGAACTTTTGTTCCTAAAAAGGTCTTAGCATAATATATACAATTAAAAAGGAGGAGGATCAATAACCAACCCAATCCCCTCCTCTTCTCCCCGATAAGTAAAATTTCTCGTAATATTTTCAAGTGACTAAAATAAATATTTTATGTATCACAGTGATTTTAATACAGCTAATATACAATTAAGCACCAGATAACTCAAACTTAGCAGAAAGTATTGAAAGAATTAATGCAGGCATTTAATTCATCAAAACAAGAGCCTAAGACAATGAAAATGAAAATATGCAAAGCATGTTACATGTGTGTATTTCCATGGTAACTAGACTTGAGACATACGGGTAAAGAAAAGGCAAAATAAGATGCAGAGAGCAATCTGAAAAGGCAGCCACAATTTTTCAGGCGAGTGGGTGTTGGGGGTAGGTGGGGGTATGGATTTATCTGTTACAAACTATCTTTAGCCATTTTTTAATTTTTAATTAAAAGAAAGAAAGATCCACCTTTTCTTTTCTGATGAGCTTGCACCCTTCTACTGGACCAATACTTTGGAAGACTTCCTGCAGTACTGCGTCCGTCACTTGAAGATTGATATTGCCAACATACCTATTGAAAATGTGATCGATGAGCACAAAATGATAAATGTGGAAAGGGTAGTCAACATTATTTTGCAGATTTACCACATGCAGAGGGCAATTTGATCTATAACATTAAACACAGAACATTCTGCATAAAGGCCCTGTTTCATTTCGACCATTCAGAAACTAAGGGGGAAATAAAGCCATATTTTTATGGAGATGTTCTTAAAAGACGAATTTAGCACTATAGCAGTCCTAGGTCATAAGATCAGGGAAAGAACCACTTCCAACACTTACACGCTGCGGCATGTACTCGAATCAAACCCAGGAGGCAGGTTTCCACTAACTATGGGCTCCATCTGCAAAGATAAACAAGTGTAAGCAAAAGGCTCTATGAAGAACAGAGTTAACATCTCTGATTTCATAACTAGTTCACAGCTCTACTAAAATCACGCATTCAGTTTGTAGCCGGAGGATGTTGCAGTTTGAAAAGGTCTCCTTCACTAAGAAAAAAGAAAACAACAATCGTGACTCATCAAACAACACTATCACAGTCCAACAAATAAATATCCGGATCACACAAAAGCAAAGCCTCCAAAACTGGGAAAGTGTGCACCACTAAACATACCTATCTTATTATATTTTGGAAAAAAAATAAACTAAAAGTGAACCAAAAACAAGATTCGGACACCACAATATTCGCCCCATGCACATAATGATATAAGATCATCTTAAAATTACAGATTACCAAAAACTAACTCAGCCGGACGAGAACATTTAATCACCAAACCCTAGCAGGAATTTAGAAATCTAAATTGTTTGTGACACGCAACGACGACCCGCATCCCAGAATCGCGACAAATGGCCGCGCACCCACAACGAGAATCCCAGAATCGAGACAAATGGCGATGCGATTGACATAACCGACCGCAGAACACTACTAAATCCCAAAATTCCAGCGGTAAACCGCAACCACAGAACCCCAAATAGCTCTTCAGCCCGGAACCTACAAATCCGATCCGAAACCCCAGAACCCCACCGGCTGCCTTAAGCGCGGAAATCCCCAAATCAGAACCCCATAGATCGTCGATTCCCGCCCACGCGATTGAACCGGAGAGACGAGAAATCAAACCCACCTGTGGCGCGGCGAGGAGGCCGGGGTGCGGGTGGTGGTGCCCGGGGAACAAGGGCGGCTGCGCCTGCTGCTGCTGCTGCAGGAGCAGGGCCTGCTGCATCAGCTGCTGCTGCTGCTGCGCCGCGGCGGCCTGCTTCATCCGCTGCTGCGGGTGCATTCCTGCCGGCGGGGCGATCGGCCGCCGGTCCCTCCCCGGCGATTATTAGGGTTCGTTGGGGCGCAAAACCCCAACGGGGGGAACGAGAGAAAAAACGAAAAAAGAAAAAAGAAAAAAAAAAGAAAAAAAAAATAACCCCTCGAAGCCGAGGGGAAGAGAAGAAGGAAGAGCGCGGCGTCGCGGGGGTGGTGACGGGCCGCTGCCGGATATTTCCATGGGCGTGAGGATTTTTTATTCCAGCCCCTGAGATTGTTGCGATCTCCAACCGTACCCTGGCCCCAGAGTGTCAGTGGGTGAGTGGTTTCTGGAGTGGATGGTGGTTGCGGTTGTAGAGCAACTTGAGGGCCTGTGTACAAAAGTGTGCGTTCCTGTCATCCTGTGGGCGCAGCAGTTCAGCACGGGAGCGAGATCGCGGTGTTTGGTGCGACTGGAGTGAGGTGTTACTGATTGGTAGGTGGGCCCACCGCGCAGGGAGAGATCACGGAGGGAGGAGACGCGGCGTACGTGGGCGGGGAGCACACAGGCTGACACAGCGGGGTTGCGGAGTGGTAGGGATGGAGCAGGAGGGAGGTCAGTGAGGGGAGGCAGGCGGAGGATCCGGTGTGTGTCAGGATCGGTGTGGCGACGGATGTGTGTCGTGCTGCGACGGTGCGGGATCAGCACGTGGCAGAATGATATGCATGTGCTGATTTTTGGGATCTACGTCTCGTTTAGTTCCTCCCCTAAAGTTTACTCTCTGTAATATTAAATGTTTGACACATACATAGAGCATTAAATATAGATTAAAAAATAACTAAATGTAAAGATTGTGACTAATTTATGAGACGAATTTTTTAAGTCTAATTAGTCTATAATTTGACAATATGATGCTACAGTAAACATGTGCTTATGACGGATTAATTGGACTTAATAAATTTATTTCATGGATTAATGAGGACTTCTGTAATTTGTTTTATTATTACGAACACTCTCACTTGACATCCCAACGTGACATCCTAAACTTTACTCCCTGAATTTAAACACCACCTCAGGTCTTGTTTAGTTCATCCCAAAAGTTTACACCATATCCTATCGAATGTTTGAACACATGCATGGAGTATTAAATATAGATTTAAAAAAATAACCAATTGTACATATTGCGACTACTTTGTGAGACGAATTTTTTAAACCTAATTAGGTCATGATTTGACATTGTAGTGCTACACACATGTGCTAATGGTGAATTAATTAGGCTTAATAAATTCTCGCGGTGTACTGACGGATTCTGTAATTTATTTTTTTTATTAGTATCTAAATACTCTATACGACACCCATATGTAACACCCGATGTGACACCTTAAAATTTTATATCCTGGATTTGAACAAGGCCTTAATGGTGGTGTTCGCTGGTCTGAGGAAACCAGCCAGCCGGCTGGTTCCCCCTCACGTGACACTGTTCATCCATTCAGCCGAACAGTATTTTTCTTTCACAACAAATCAGCTGAAACAGTGTTTTTCAGCCAAGTTTCAGACCAGCGAACGGGGCCAATATAATAAGGTCTGGTTAAATTACTGGGATCCAACTGGGCTTTTTGTTACGGCTGTTGGTCATTTTAAAAGTGACATCATTCCCGCCATTCACAGAATTTGTCGTTGATTATAAGATTTGTTTCATGTCCCTATCAAACCTGTAAACATGTGCAACTCCTGTGGGCCTGCTCACTTCCCATTGTTGCACAGCCGTAGCAACTGCAGCTACAGAATTTGTATAGGAGTTACTGTTGCAGATGTGTGTACTATGTTGTAGCCGTTGTTATTGTTGCAATGGGAGACGATCTGGTTGTACATACATTATTTAATTTAAAATCATGAAGCTTCATTTGAATTCAAAATACCTGAAAATCTATTAGATTTTAAGATTTTGATAGTCGTTCTAGACCATATTAGTTGTTCAAGTTAAAAAATATGCATTGAAAATCATGCACAATCAAATATGGGCTTCATTACAAACTACTACAATTATTCTAAATTATGAGACGTTTTATCTTTTCTTGATCTATTGCTCTTACTTATATATCTAAACATAATATATATATATATATATAACTATATAAGAAAATCTATATGTTTGGAAAAGTCAAAAGCGGACCCCACTGCCAAAACCCGGAGCGTTCTTCAGTTGTTGCAGTGTTTGGCATCACTGGTGGGACCCATATGGGAGATAAAAGAAATACACAGAACCCACTATCTAATACTCTGCATCGGTCAGGGAAGTGCCAACGAAATTCTATTCTATGGTTTGGGCACCCGAGCAAGTAGTCGCTCCGCTCCTCGTTTTTCTGGCACCGGTGGAAGTTGGTGCCGGTTTAGTTTCTAAAATTTTGTAAAATTTTTTAAGATTTTCCGTCATATTAAATATTTGGACGTATGTATGAAGTATTAAATATAAATAAAAAATAAAGCTAATTACACAGTTTAGACGAATCTTTTAAGCCTAATTAGACTATGATTGGACACTAATTGTTAAATAACAACGAAAGTGCTACCGTATCATTTTCCAAAAAAAATCGCCAACTAAACAAGGTCTGGGAATCACTTGTTGTAGTGGGAAGGAGCGACTCCCAAAGTCTCTCTCTCCTCTACAAGCACCACGTGCTCAAGCTCACGTTGTGGAGGGCCTTAGAATCGATGAAGAACAATTATGTTTCCTAACAAACTACAATTCTAGGCACGACATGGAGTATCATATATGACCAAAATTGTGTCCTCGCGAGTGGTGAGCATCAATAAGGTTTAACTTAATCTCTGCAATCCCACATGTGCCATGCCTATTACTTGTATGCAATTTCCAAATGGATGCAAGTCACATGTACTCCCTCCATCCCATAAGGAGTGTCATTTTCATCTTCAACTTTGATAAAAAAAAGTGTCTTCCTCACTTTTCGAGAATTCAAACATCTTCAACTTTTATCAAATATATAAAAAATATTAATATTTATAGTGCATAATTAATATCATTAGATAAAACGCTGAATATATTTCACAATGACCTATTCAGAGATATAAATATTGCTAATATTTTGTATAGCACAAATCCTATAATAGCTTTTTTTAGACCGAGGGAGCTCTTATATGCAAATGGCAGTGCCAAAAAGCCATGTGATCCAAGGTGGCAAGGTATTGATTTACCATGCTCTTATCATATCCTATCCAGTTTATGCCCTTTTTAAGCTCAGCAATCACCATTGTCGCGCCGCCTAATCTCGACGGGGCTTAGCACGACTGCACGAGACAAACACAAGCGATAGATATGGCATTGCCACACGTGCTGCTGCCGGTGCCAGAGACTCAGGTCATGTTCGCTTGTTTTATGAGTCATACTTTTTTAGCAAACAAACAATATTTTTCTCTGATAATAAATCAGTCAATAATAATTTTCAGTCTAGTTTATCACTAAAGGCCTACCGCTGCGTTTGCTGTCAAAGAGCTCCGCGTCCTCATCGCCGTCGTCACATCACGCGTACGCGTCCCCTGCAGTCAGAAGGCTGTGTTGCACAAAAGCACACGAGTCCACAGCTTCCGAGGAAAACACAAACAAGGGTCCAAATATTCAGTTAAAAAAAACACACAAGAGTCCAAATATTCCAGTTAAAAAAAAGAGTCCAATACTCCAGTTAAGAAAAAAAAAACCGTTGAAAACTAATGTATTTCGCTGTCTGACATGTAGGACGGCACGGTAGTATATTATTTGTAATCTAAAAAAAAGTAGTATATTATTTACGGACTGTGAAAAAAAAATGAAATTATGCTTGCACGAGAGCGGGCATGTTTTTCCTCACAGCCTCACAACCAATTGTACGAGTGTACCGGGCCTCGGCCTAGCATGTGACATGAATATCAGAACTTGTCACACCACACGTAAGTTATAGATTTTTAGGATGCTGTTTGGTTCACTCTCGTAACTATAGCGCGCCATATTTTGTTAGCAACATATCTTGTGGGTCATAGACTTATTTTGTTACTAATCTTTACTATAAGTGTGGCTTCGATTTTACTCGCCACACTTTGTATATGTCAGCCACATATTACCTAAGGTTGGCCGTTGAAAACTTAGCCATCAACCAAACAAACCATGTGCCAAAAATACCTGTGTAAATCAAGATTTTCACATGTGGGCTGAATGGCCGCCTCTGTAAATGAAACTTAGGAAATAAAAAATGGCTTGGCAAGCACACCGCAGAGGCCCATTGTGGAGGTTATCGTTGTCCTTGACCATGCACTGCAGATGCCACTGAGCCTGATCCTGCATCCACCACCTAATTCGCATGTTGTTGAGCGCGCTCCCGCTGTTATCACCAAATTCGACTGTCGCCGAGCATTCTCCTGGCTCTACTGCTACATTTGCCTCCACCGCCAGGTCTGTTTCGCCATGAATGGAGAGAGAGAGAGAGAGAGGGAGGGAGGGAGAGGGAGAGCAAAGGAAGATAAAGGGAGAGATGATGTACCTCGTCGATTGCGGTGCGGTGCCACTGTCGCGCACAGCCTCTATTGGGCCACAACCATTGCCTATTGGAACCCTTGCTAGGCCGCCACCGCACGCGCGCACTCTCAGCTGGATAGAGAAGGGGTTGTAGCTCGCTAGATCTAGGGGCTAGGGCATCAGAAAAGGGGGGGCGAACGAAGTCCTCGTGGATCTAACCTACCGCGACAATGCCACTATTGTCGATCAAGATCAAACACCTGCCCTTGAAATCTCCATTCTAGGCTAACATTTGTAGAGGGCCTAAAAAGACAACAAACAGTGGGCACGATGTGGCTACTATGCAAAACCGATGACCGATCGAATGCTCATACGGTGCACATGATGATCAGTTGATCACGCTGGATTTGATGCTCACACAACATTCACACGGTACGGTACGGTACGGGTACGTGTACACGTCGATCGGCCGATGTTTGACCATGTTGGATCCATTGATCACCTTATTGAAGCGAATGTACTCCGTCAAAGGGAACCAACC